CATCGTCAAGGGAGAGAAGAAGAAGAAGAGACAGCGCAGGAAGGAAAGCTATGCCATTTACATCTACAAGGTGTTGAAGCAGGTCCACCCGGACACCGGAGTCTCGTCGAAGGCCATGAGCATCATGAACAGCTTCGTCAATGACATCTTCGAACGTATTGCTGCTGAGTCGTCCCGTCTGGCTCAATACAACAAACGCTCGACGATCACGTCCCGCGAAATCCAAACTACGGTCCGTCTGCTGCTGCCGGGTGAGTTGGCCAAGCACGCTATCTCTGAAGGAACCAAGGCCGTCACCAAGTACACCAGCTCAAAGTAGATTCGTACCATCTAAACAATCAATCGGCCCTTTTCAGGGCTACAAATCGATTTCCACCGTGAAAGAGGTTTTGATGATATTGAACTTTTAAATGTTCGAAAGCAGCGTTAGCAAAGTTCGCAATAAGAAATCAGTTGATTTGCCTTATGAAAATAATGTTGACAAAAAGAATAAGAGGTTGTATCCATTACACTACACGACCGTACGGTTTTGACGTCTGTGATTTCTATATGGGGGTACACTTTGTGAAAACCGAAAATGGAACATAAAATAATTGTGACACGCTTGGCGTGGATGGCGAACAGACCGACCAGATAGGCCTCGCTGAATTCCTGTAGGGCCATTAACGGCCGAGCTCTGGAAGCGCAGATCGGTCTTGAAGTCCTGAGCGATTTCACGGACCAGACGCTTGAAAGGCAACTTGCAGTCAGCAGCTCGATCGATTTCTGGTAACGACGGATCTCACGCAGAGCGACAGTTCCTGGCCGGTAGCGATGAGACTTCTTCACTCCTGCGGTGGCCATCTGTTTGAGAGGAGCCTTTCCTCCGGTGGACTTACGAGCGATCTGCTTAATGCGGCCATTATACGATGTGGATACGTTGAACGCAACATGTTGAATAAAAATTTTAATTACCAAGCACAATCATGAGCATTGGCTCCAAGCAATATTTCATCAGATTCCAGACAAATCTGTACAGATAGTAAATAAAACAGAAAATGAAAATATAAAAATGAGGTAAGGAAAATAATTAAAATATGGTTCAGATTAATACCTGGCTGAATAAAGATACACATTACCATTTATTTTATAAGACCACGTAGTCCTACGTCACCATTGCGTACAACCCCATAGGGCTGTCCCTTGTAGTTTTTTACTTATGGTTTGAGAACTTTAATGGGAATGGTTATGGTAGCCAGTAAGGTCCATTAATGGATTTGTATTATCGGTCAACTTTACGTGGATTGGTAATCAGTAATTCACAGGCAACCAATTCACGATATATTCCACATAAAGTTGATCGATGTTACAAAACCATCTATGAACCCTACCGACTACCATAACCATTACCATTAAAGTTCTCAAATTATAAATAAAATGGTCCCAATATAATTCCTTTAGCAAAAATGTATCGAGACAACAAGAATTTTAAATGACAATGGTTCTCTTAACAACCCATTATTTGTAAGGTTCACTTTCAAAAAAACATAATCACCCCTATTCTGTATTTCGTTTCGAACGAAATTCTCATACAAAAAAATATTTTTTTATATGAGAATTTCGTTCGAAACGAAATACAGAATAGGGGTGAATATATAAGGTTAAAATTTTATCACACAAACGTTCATTTTAAGTACCATAACCACTTCAGTTAATGTTTAGCAGGGATTATAAACAATTTTTAACCATTTTTGTAAGGTTAAGTAATGGTTCGCATTTATGCGGGATGCCAATCGAGCAAGGCAGCCCTAATAAAATTGTTATGGTTATTTTACTTAACGACGTGTTCCGGGTATAATCCAAACCATTTGTAGAATATTTGAACCATTTTGGTTACCATTCGATTATGATATTTTTGTATTAGGGAGTGCATTTGGTTCAGATGGTTCGGATTGAACAACTTTTGACAGCCGTCCATACTTTTAAGTACACGGCGACCCAAATTTGAGTTTAGTTCACTCATAATCGCCAAAAGTGCAGGAACTCAGCGATGAGTAAATTTGTCTCATGGTTTCCTGTGGAAAATCTAAAAAAATCTGCCGGAAAATGAGGACATTGACGAACATTTTATTCAGTCTCGGAGTAGTACCAATAGACAGAGTGAATCCAGTCGTTACTTTTCTCAAATTCGGGAATTCTTCCCTGGTTAAATCTGGGAAAACATTAGGCAAATTTACTCATCGCTGAGTTCCTGCACTTTATGTGATTTATGAGTTGACTAAACTCAAACTTAGGTCATTCTCTAGAGCTTTAGTAAAAACTGCTGCTCAGTGAGTGATACGAAATAACCGTGAAAAGTGTATGCACACTGAACCAAATTGTCCACACATGAATGTATGATTATTGCTTCACTTGAGCCCCATACGGATTATTTTTCTATTTGAGAAAGATTATCATTCTCTGATTCAGCTTTCAAAGCACAGAAGATCTGAATAGCGTCAACTCTAAAACAGGATGATTTTCATTCTGCACAAACCATCAGTTCTAAATCACCATGATTATCATCCATTCTTAGGAAGACTTGCAATGAACAAACCGTATGATTAACATTGAGAATGATACGGACTCGTCATACAATTTCAAAATAAATTGTCATGCAATGTTCAAATGAAATATAAGTGCAATCTGAATGAAAAATATATAAAAAGAAGAAAGCTTATTTTGCAGTTTAAAAATTGTGATCATAACAAAATATATCTGTCCTAAATCGTTGGAACAGTAAATTAATGTTGTAAATGAAACGCTTTTGTTTTACACGTTGGACAATAGTGTTATTCATTTATTTAATATATTTTTCTGCGAAACATAACTTTTCTTCCCATTTCTTCTAATGTAAAAGGAGGGCCATCGAAAATTGTCATTACATTGTTTTGATACAGCGCTCCATTGACAAAATTGCAATATCTATTGCTTGTTTTCCTTAGATTGTACATATTTTTAATTATTTCAGACAGCACATCTTCGGTTTCGAGAAATTTTCTGATTTGAAACTCTACGTTCATTAAGATTAAATGTGTAGTTTTGATGTTCGTGTCACTTCCTGCTTCATCGATACTACCGTTTTTAGCAATAAATACTCTTGGTTTACTGAAAAGGTCCGACTCTATAAGAAACTTAAAGAACTTGTGCTCTGTATCAATGAAATCAAACATTGAAGACATGTTTTGTAGATAAACGTCTGTAATATACTGTGTTTGTGGGTCTCATGCCTGCAAAGGTACTATGGAGCGGATCAGGTTTTCAAGGTGACTATATAATTTCTTGACGCTAGTCTGGACATCAAAAACATCCTTCCGTGTTATGTTGCGTCGCTTGTGGAGGTCAAGCACGAAGTTCAGTGCCATGTGGTCAATGTTTTGTAATGACTGAAGAATCTCACAGCTAGCGGAAGTCGTTGGTCTCCTTGGAAAGGTACTCCTGCATCTGATTCCTAGGATTGGAAAGATATATATTATTAATGATGTTCAATAACTTGAGGAAAAGTGGAGTCGGTCGAAATATTTCATGGGGGGTTTTGGAACAGTTTTTTTTCTCTCGATGTTTTCCATTAAAAAAAACCTCGCCATAGATGGTTCCAGCGTGATATCTACCACAAACAAAAAGATCATCATCGCTTACCGGTCTCCTGGCTGGTCTTCCCGTTCGCCGGATAGTGTTATTCCGAATACTTCGGTGGTCTCTCGTCCTACAACAGTGCCTTTCCGACAGAAAAAAAAACCCACACCACACCTTGCACCGGACAACAATTCAGCAGCAGCATCAAGGCAAGATCAGCCAGCGCCAGCTTTTACGGGGCAGCTCCCTGTCCATCCGTACCCTAGCTGTTCACTTTGCAATCGGAATTGCTTGTTAGCTTCTAGCTGCTTTTTATCTTGTTCTGTCCGTCCGTCGGACGAAACCCCACGCACACCACACACACTCTCGGAAGCTCACGGATAGGAAAAAAATAACCAGCCAAAAAGCAGCGGAGAAAGGCTAGCACTGCGGCAGCAGTAGCCCGAAAGAATCTTTCGCACAATCTTTTCCCGATCTGAAATGCACCTTTTCTGCGGTCACAATTGGCACCAGCTGCTTCCCGCGGCTTCCGGCAGTAATTTTGCACTACTTTGCGACAGTTTTTCACTAATTTTCACCAATTTTTCGATCACTGGGAGCCACCAAAAACTGCGAATGTTGCCCCTTTGCTCAGTGCGCGTTCATCCAGCTGCGAATATAAAATGGCGAAGCCAAAACGCAACGGGAAACTGCAACGATATGAAAATGAATCGCATGACAGTTGTTGTATGATTTTCGTCATGGGGCTAACTTGGATGATTTTACTTCATTTCTGTTCTTGAATTCATTTTTTGTTAATACCTTTCAAAATTTGAACGGTACTTCATTAAGTGGTTGATGTTAGTTTCTTTTAAGATATTTATGATGAATCATCCCATTTAATGTCAATTATCAGTCAATCGGGTATCTCATATTATTTTCGATGTTAATGAAATCGGATAGCTCTGAATGATTAATCATGCAATGACGACATGGTAAATTCGCTCAGTGCATGCTGATTGTAAATAACGCAATATAGGGGAAGTGTACCAGTGGTACTAGCGGTACTAGTGGTCCTCTAATTGGCCTAAGATCTCAAAATTGTTAAACACTAAATTTATTTCGCAGGATGTTAGCCACAATGCTGTTCTGTAAGCCTAGGTTGAAAAATTAGGAAAAGCTTAATTACAGCAATGTTTACAGTTTCCCTCTACCAACACATACGTGAGGATCTCCACACTAAAGAGGCTGGGACGGTATGGGAAAACTAGTGTCATAACTGGCACACTTCCCCTATATAAATGCATCTGCAGATGTTAATGTTTTCCAAGCAACGGATCAGGCAGTACATTGTTTATCTAAATCTAAACTTACTGCTGCAAAATTTTACTTAAAGTATTCGTGTTCAATTAGTTAAATTAAATCGCCAAGAAGTGTTTTTTTTTCCGACGGGACAACTACAACTTTAAAACCGCGGAGTCAAGTCGGTTCAGATATCCAAGCCAAAATGGTCGAATGTGGAATCTGTCTGGAGGACTACCCGGAGGGTGATTTGGAGCTGCATCGGGAGATGTGTGTGGTACGGTTGATGTTCCGATGCTCCCTATGCGACGGGGACTATGTGAGCAAGGAAGGGCTGTGGAATCATCTGGACCTGCATGAGGTAAGAAGCAATCAATAATGCATTCTTTATAGCTAATCCATGTTAACATGGTGTCTTTGTCGAAAGATTGCAGATGAAAGCAAGGAATTACACTATCAGGAAATAAAAGCAAAACACAAATTGCATCAATGCGTTTTGTGTAACGATCAACGTGCTTATTCGGAAAGTCCCTACTGGGAGCACGTTCATGTAAGTGACGGATTTGAATACAAGTTACAATATACTGCAGTACACATAATAATTGGATTGCATTACAGGACGTACACGGTGGCTTCTTTTTGCGGTGTTTTGTTTGTGGGGAAAACTTCCGATCCGAAAAGCTTAAGAATGAACATTCCTTTAGTCATTGTAAGGCCAGGGATCAAACTGTAACTGCGGGCTGTAATACCCTGGAAGAGAAACATGTTCCTATTAAAGTTGAAAATACTTATGCTGAACATTTAAAGCTATCGCGGGAAGAGCAGAGCAGTAATGCGACTGAAAAACTTGATAAACCATTGAGTGAGCATTCCCCTGTTAATTTGAATACTGCCAACGATGCGGATACTAATGTCATCGAAAAGGAAGCCGAGTTGCCTACTAATAATTCGGATAAAAGCAAGGATTTGCTGGCACAATTAACTTGTGATACTTGCGGAATATCATTTTCTTCAAATGGCTTACTTCTTCGTCATAAGGTATGTAATAAATGTCGACATTCGTCTGTCATATTTTTTTTTTCTGAGCCAATACTTTCTTTATCGCCATAACAGAGGGCAAAATTCTCGTGCATGGAAGTAAAGCAGCAAAAATGTCCCCATTGCCGGAAAGTATTCCAGTTCCAGACAAAAGCATATGAAGCACACGTTCGCTTATGTAAGAAGAAAAAATTTGCTTGTAAATTATGTCCTTGGAAGTTTCAATTTTCAAAGAGTCTTGCGAAGCACATGAAGAATCGTCATCGTCGTAAAGGAGCTTTAACAAACGAAAAGCAAGATCAAAATCATGTTAAGAATGTTAAGGAAAAACCATCCTCTAGCTCGAAATTGGACATCGGAGATAAGAGTGGGCAACTGCTGGTCGAGAATCCTTCAAGTATATCATCCGGCACCTTGTCTGGGACAAAGTGTATTCACTGTGATAAAGAGTGTGTTACGGCCAGATATTTACGTCAACACATCTTACAATCTCATCACCCGACGAAGTGTAAAATTTGCGGTATCATTTCGGAAGGCTCTTCTAGAGCCGGATATCATAAGGTTCGTCTAACTCTCTAAATCGCTGTAACTTCTTTCTTTTATAGCGACATCATTGTCCCTATGTAATGTAGTTTTTATTTTTCATTTCAGATTATGAAACACACGAAACCGAAGTACGAGTGCGCTAACTGTTCGGAGAAATTCCACGTCTTGAAACTTTATAAGCGTCATTCAAATGTTTGTGATTCTGTTCAGGGTGACTTCTCGAGTCACAAGAGTTCTGATGAACTTAGCCTGAAAGACAAGAGTGACCCAATAGTGACGGCAGAGAATTGTTCGAGTGAAGCATCCTGTAGCAAATGTTCCCACTGTGGAATAGAAGAGTCCAGCGCTGTCACCCTAGCTCGTCACATTCTGATCCACCATGAGCCAGTCGCATGTGATCACTGTGGAGTTACTTTGCCCAGTCTTGTCCTGGCTCAGCATCATAAGGTTTGTAAACTGGGTTTCGAGTTGTCGATAGTCTAATGTACTGTTTGTATCCTTCATTACAGAAAGTGAAGCACAAGGAATTGACGCCCAAATGCCCTTATTGTTCGATGCAGCTTTCCGGGAAGGAGCGCTTTAAAAAACATGTATCTAAGTGTGTGAATGGGAAAGTTCCCTGTGAGTTTTGTGGTAAATTGTTTAAAGATATATTTGCTGTCAGAATGCATTGGCGTAAAGTTTGCCGTGCGTATAAAAGGAGCACGGAGCAAAAGCAGAAGAATACCGAAAAACCACCTCTTGTTGAAAATGGTTTACCCCAACCAAAATGTTACTACTGTAACGAAGAGTTCACCATTCCGTGGCATTTAAGTCATCACTTGAAAGTTTGCCATGAGCTGACCAAATGTGACATCTGCGGAATTACTGTTCTCGGTATATCAGCCACCAAACATCATAAGGTTTGTTGTATCCGTTTTTCTCAATTACTATCAGGCTTGATTCTCTTTTCAAATTGTTTCTTAGAAGTGGAATTCTCTGCCAAGTAACTTCTATTAGTGAAAAAGCGCTTAAACTTTAACTTTTAAATGACAATGGCAGGTCAGGAATACATTCTGAATCAAGATGAGTTACAATATTCCAATTGAAATAAATTTACCTTTATAATTATCGATGCTATCAATGAAAGTTTTAACACAGAAGCATATTTATTTACATTATACATACATACATTTATCTTTTACACATTGTTATACAGTCTTCATTGTCCATTGCAGATCAAATGCCACAATGAACCGAAATACGAGTGCCCAACTTGTGGGGAAAAAATTCACACCAAAATAGAATATAAAGCACATTGTTTTGGGTGTGAGCATAAGATGTATTCATGTAAATTATGTGGACGTACGTTCGCACATTCCCACTCAATCATACGGCATAATAAGCGATATCATCCAGATGAGAGTAGTTCGGAAAATGTACCAATCGACCAAGGTCAAGAACAAGTTGTGGACAATAAGAAGTTTTTATGTAAATTATGTGATCGCTTGTTCAATCAATATTTCTCACTCTATCGGCATAATAAGCGATATCATCCAGATGAAAGCAGTTGGGAAAATCTACGTATCGTGCAAGATCAAAAACAAGTTCAGAACAATAAGAAGTATTTATGTAAATTATGCGGACGTACGTTCACATATTCCCGATCAGTCAAGCGGCATAATAAGCGATATCATCCAGATGAGAGCAGTTTGGAAAATCTACAGATCGTCCAAGATGAAAAACAAGTCCAGAGCATTGATCTGAAAATGGAAATCACAGCAGAGGAAGCTACGATATCGGTACGTGATGACCAAGAACAATCAACGGTTAATCCATCCTGCAAAGTTGATGTTTCAAGTGGGTAAAGTTCGACTTAAGCTAGAGAAACGAATAACTACGTAGGAATTGGTTCTTTTTTAGATTCTCGATCGAAAGAGCTTTCATTAGCTAACTTGAACGATGATGACTTAATGGAAAGCCAAGTGATCAACAAGGAATCCCGGATGGTTTCCGAGAAAACCTTGAAGAAGCCCATTGTTGAAAATCCATCGAACCATATGATGTTGTCATGTGAATTGTGTGGACGTACGTTTAAACATTCCCGCTCTGTCAAGCGGCATAAGAAGCAATGTCAGTTAGACGAGAGCAGTTTGAAAAATCTACAGATCGTTCAAGGTCAAAAACAAGTCCAGAACAGTGATCTTCAAATGGAAATCACTGCAGAGGAAACTACGATAACGGCTCGTGATGACCAAGGACAATTAACGGTTAATTCATCCTCCGAGGCTGATGTTTTAAGTGAGTAAGGTTCGACCTAAGTGCCTGTAGATTCAATGCTTTTGAGATGGTTAGATCATATCTAGGTACAGCTGGAATTAGGGCCGCAGGTACCCACACCTGAGCGGCAGTTTCGCCGCTGTGTCGCCTTCGTGTGCAATAAATTCGTTGTCGAATGAAGAGGTGCCTTCCTTGTTTAGTTTGCAAGTAGAGGAGACTTCCTGAACTTGTAATATAACATTATCATTTTAACAATATAACCATTGATCTTGTTGTCTCATGGAATTTGAATTGTCGGATTTTGGCCACTTTCTGGGTCGGCACATGACCAAGTGCAGATTTTGGCCACATCCAGAGTAGTACCCGGAACACAGGACCAAACATATGTGGAGACCCATCGAGTGCACCAAAGTTGATTTTTACAGTAACTAACCCCCTCCAACAATTGGCGATCGCAGTAGGCCGCGCTTGAAAGCTGACATGTTTTTCTTTTGCTGCGTATTTTTCGTCAGCGAATCAAACATTTTTTTGCTTTAAATTTGTTAATTTATGTGCTGAAATTTAGTTTCAAGTGTTCATAAAGTTATCATTTAGTGACATATCGTGTTTTGCCTGTGTTTGCCTTGAGTGACTCGGTTGACCTTAAATCTAACCTCCAAAATCTATGCCACATTTTCGACGTGTAGTTATGTTCTATTGAGAGATTCGTCTCCATGGGCGAGTTTGAACCTGGTCCGACCGAGAACGTGCTGATAACGTGTCCGTCGCGAGTTTTGGTGGTGATTCGGTGGCTGATCGTTAATCAGTAAGTTTCCGCTTGCAAAAGTGCTCGGCTGCTGGTCTCTCGCCGGTGTCGGAGATTGCGAGCAATATGAAAGATGCCTCACTGGATACGCCCAAGGCTGGACGGGTGGTAGCTGGTGGCCGCGAAAGGTTCCTTTGGAAAGCACTAGACGTCAACCTCCTCCTACATGACCATGACAATGCAAGACAATTTGTGTTCGTTGAAATAACTATTATGCCAAAGGTGAATCACGAAATGAGATGTAAAACGTAGAGAAAACTAAATACTAAATACCTACGTGCCAGGATTCAAAAGAACATTTTGAAACTGGAAGTGTGTGTGTAATACTCTACCAATTGATAGAGGTAATACATACATGCGGGGCTTATTGTAAGTGAAAGTAACCTCGGAATGGGCGTGACTCTCCAGACATTCTGAAATGGGTTGCTGGATCTGCAATAGAGCTATCACCATCCAACTCCCGGACTAAAGCTGTCTACAATGACCATAAATGCGACATTGTAGAGAGAGTTCTTCCATAATAACACTACCGGCCAGTGGGTATTAGAGGGAATACACACACACAATTAACCCCCTTCAACAAAACCAACTGTCGAACAATTAAAATCACGTCTTTCGGATATTCTCTCATGATACAAGGTTACTCAGAAAATATTCCAATGATTCAGTTGATCAGAATTCTCCATAAATTCCTCAAGATATTTTGTCAAGACTTCAGGTCGATCAGGGTTTATTCTGGACGTATCCAACTATCTAGTAATTCAAATCTCAACTATTTTTTTCAGAAAGCAGGTTAAACAGGAATGTCCTTCAGTTGGTACAGTTCAGTACCTGCATAATGTTCTCTTGAGATTTTGGCATTTCTTCTGGTTATTGATGTGTTTCCGTTTGGGTAGAGATTCTTCCTCAATAGAAATATAAGTGTTGACTCCAGTATGTATCAAGTCCAACTGATCTACTCAGCACAGTGTTTATTTCATTTATACATTCTCCTGAACATCACTTATCGCCTCACTTATCGTTTTCTCTCTTTCCGTTATTACCGCAAAATCTCTCAAAGGGTTTAGACATTTGACCGATCATTACAGATTCATGATTATTTTATCATGTCTCTTAGATATTCTTGCAAGATAGCAGGTTGATCGAGAATCGTTCTTCAGTGGATCAAAGTTCTCCATATTGTTTTCTGGATCATTTCGCAAGCCAGTGTTGGGAAAATACCAAAAAATCAAATCTCCTCGAAGCCCAAGATCACGCTTCATTTTCGTAGACAAAAATCAACAAGCATAAAACTGCGGTTGATTTAGCAAGTTGTGATATCGCAGCTAGGAATATCATGCTAACAAACCTCACCAGCTGCAAATCTCACCAAACTGTGGTGAGATTGAGTTTCATGATTTTTGCTTTAAACCCGAACGCAACCGAAACTTCCATAACGGCTGGCAGCAGTCACTTCGTGCCTGCCATCGGTGAAGAGTAAAAAGAGATAGCAAGTTATACACGTTGTGCACGTTGTGAATAGTCTCGCAATATCAAAGGAGATGTAAAATCAATATCAAGCATGATATTTTGTTCCAATATCACGCGTTAGCAACACTTGAACAGGTTGATATGCTATTATTCTGAAGATCTCCATTTGTTCAATAGATCAAATAATGTCTTCGATTAAATATTTCAGATATTAGAAATATATTCCAGAAACCTTGACTATTTCAAAGAACAGCGTAAAGTACTTTGGATATTTTATCAAGACAATGACCAGGTTTTTGATGATCTATAACTAGTCCTTGTGAACGGAAAAGGACGTGTAGAGGTCAAAAATCGATGTTGGACACCATTCTGTAATGCAGTTTTTAAATTCTGTCAAGTTCCCAACAATATGGGTATTTTCAGAACAAGGCCGACTTTAGATGTCAAAATTTGATATCCGCCGCCATTTTGGAATCAGGCGTTCGATTATCCGGGGCTTGATTATCCAGAAAAAAATGAATCGATTATCCGGAGCCATATTTTTTTTCTGTGGTATTGGATTTGAGTAAGTAAAAACAAGAAGCATAGGGTAAATGCATTCTAACCATGTGGAGCCAATTTCTAACCATTTGGAGATTAACAAAGTGATATAGAAAGATAAGATGACGACGGCATCCTGAGGTGCCCATATCACACCATCCTGAGCTGTGAGGGACCATACCAGGTGACCCATTGCATAGTCGAAAATATGGATGATACCTGATCAATCTGAAATCTTAAAAAAAACTGAGGTTTTCGATGTGTTCTCTTATCACTTCATGTTATTTGAGGGGGTTCTAAGGAAAGGGGTGTA